CAACCAGGGAAAGTAAGATCCTCAGGGCAAGCCAACAGGAAGAGGTCCAGACAACCTTCCCAGGGGACCACACAGAGGCTGAAGTACCTACCTGCCCCAATCCCACATTTTGGGGGTGGGTGGGGTCTAGGACAGGGTGGACATTTGCAAAACATAATGAAATTGTCTATCTCTGGAGCGGTCTGTATTCCTCGAGATCGGGGCGTATCGGAGTCCTCGGAGCACAGGGCCGGCACAGAGCAGCCTCAGTAAGTACTTGACCTAAACTCATTCTTAGAAGCCCAGGGCACCAACTGGGCAGCACAACAAACAAGTGGTCAGCCTACAAGCTCTCACATCGATTTATTCCGGCCCTCCTCTCCATGGAGTCAGAGAACGGGCTTTCCTGACAGACAAGTGCCCCATCAAGGGGATTCAAGACTTCGGCACTGAAGTCTCTCTTGGAACTAGATAATGAACAGCTGAAGCAGGACAAGTGTAGAGCCCAGCCAGGATGCCAGGAGCCAGGAGCCTGGGCACATCCACACTGCTCTACTGAACGGTCCCAAGAGACCAGAACCAGGCTAATCACATCACAGATGCCCTCAGAACACAGACCAAGGCCACAGCAGAGGTGTGCAACAGCAAGTGGATTTTAATGGAGGGTGTAAAGCCAGGGCGACTTGGCCTCTTCGGTTACTTTAACCTCTCTTTTGTCCTTAAGATGGAGGCAGGAAGGAGGCCTGTTCTCTACAAGGACCCAGAAATCAGTCTCCATGCCCAAGCTGTTTTATGTGGACCAGTTCAGATATCGCTCTGGTCGGCTTGCGATCTGTTTTCTAGCATTTTCCTTTCCTTGAGAACAGGAGCCTTCTCACATTCACCTGTTTTGAGGCACTGGGTATCAGGGAAGGCACCCTGGAATTACGCTGCCTTTACACGAGCTGTTCCCTGTGCCTAGAGCACGCTTCCCCGGGTGTCTGCATGACGAGCTCCCTCATTTCTTTATCCTTTGAATCTTTACTCGAATATTATCTTCTCAACAAGGCTCTACTGCAAACTGCACCCTCTGGCAAGCCCCCAGCACTCCCAATCTTTCTTATTTTGTTCTATATTTTTTCATAGCTCTTTCAGCATATCTGTTTTTGCTTTTTCTGCAGTTTGAATAATATGCCTAGTTATATAACATAATATGTATTGACTGCATCTTAGTATTACTAGAATATAAGCTTCATGAGAGCAGGAATTTTTTGTCTGTTTTGGTCACTGATATTGCAAGCTCACAGAGATGGCACATAAAAGGCACTCAATAAATGAGTGTGTAAAAAGGGAAACCTACATTCAGACCCTACCCTGTCACTTATTAGCCAGCTGTGTGCCTTAGGCCAGAGGTCCCCAACCCCTGGGCCGCAGACCAGTACTGGTCTGCTGCCTGTTAGGAACTGGGCTGCACAGTAGGAGGTGAGCCAGTGAAGATTCATTTGTATTTGCAGCCACGCCCTAGCGCCAGCATCGCCACCTCAGCTCTACCTCAGCTCATCAGGCATTAGATTCAGCACCAGTCCCTGGTATTAAAAAGGTTAGGGACCAATGCCTTAGGCAATTTGCTTCCCTCTCAGTCCCCATTTCTTTATGAGAGTGGGGTCCAAGCACCCACTTTGCTAAATTATGCATGTAAAGTACCTAGCAGAGTGCGTGGTACAAACAGTTAATAAAAAGTCCAACCACTTGACGTAATTACTGCCCCTCTCACTCTTCACCTTCCATCTGTTATAAATACCCTTTACTCAGGGTGCATCACTTAGGCAATTAATGCAGCAGAGCCTTCAGGTCTGGGGCTGTGGTGAAGGGATGAGGCCATGAAAAACTTACTTATCTCAGGATTCTCTTTTCTGTGCCAGCTGAGCTGGCTCAAGGGCAGCTGGTCTCAGGCTTCTAGCAACTCCTATAGCCCAGCTACACAGCAGCAGCAGATCTGGAACCAACCTCCCAGTCCTATGAGAAATCAGCCTTCCTTTGACCTACTATACCACCTCTGACACAATTGATTTTCAAAGCCCTCTGACTACCAGGGATCAAGCCTACAGCAGGAAAGGGACTCAGAGCTCACCAGGACCTCACAGATGTGTGGAGAGGATCAGGCCATTCCCTGCATAGGAAACTCCTTCTACTGCTTGGCACCTGTGGGATAAAAAGAAGATGCTAGGGAACAGGTTCTCTAGTCAGAGGTTAGGGTCCCAGGCTCTGGGTCCAGCCTGGATTCATGTCCTGTCTCCGCCACTCAACAGTTGTAGATTCTTTGGTTTTCTAAGGTCTTCAAGTTTCAGTATGTTTACCTGTAAAATGAGCTATTAACAGTTCCCACTTCACCAGTTGCTATGGGAAGTAAGTGAGATATGCTTATGAAGTGCCTTAGCACACTGCCTGGCACCCAAGCACAGTAATGGTCATTTGCTCACTCAAAGGCCTTTTAATCACCAGATGGGTCCTCTGGAACCACGTTGCCAGAGGTGGCTTTGGCCAGTATGAGCCACATAAACCATGGCTGTGAGATAGGAAGAGGTGAAATATAACCATGCCTTCACTTCAGGACTTCTGGCTTGTCCAACTCAACAAGCCAGAGACGGGGCAGCTTTCTCTAAAATCTGAAATTTTAATTTCTAATCCTAAGTTTTGCCAAACAAAACTGATTCTGCAAATAATTATCTTCAGCTGGTAGCCAGAACTCTGGGGTGCATATATATTATATGTGTATATATTAAATCAAGAAACACAATTTATTCATGTCTTTATTCACTTGACAAATGTTTACTAGGCAACACTGTGTGCCATGCCTTCTGCTAGGCCCCTGCAATGGGATTCAGCCTTTGCTCTCAAGGAGCTCACAGGTTATGGAGGAGGTGAGCATAGGACTGGCACAATATTTCACCGGAAACATTCTGAGAGTACAATACAAGCTCGGCAGAAGGGCATTTATGCTAGAACGGGAACACAGAAAAAACTCTCTGAAGAACTTCTGGGTTGTTTTGAAAGATGAACAGAATGCGGTGGGGAGGAAGGCAGAGGCCATGCAGTTCAGTGTCTGCGTTTAGTTCTGCTTGGCTGATCCCACAGCTGGAGAGGTCACTGGAGGGGACAGATTGTGCAGGGCCTTGAATGCTAAGGAGCATAACATGAGCCGCATATATGTGAAAAACAGGAGTTTTGACTTTATCCTGAAGGCTGTGAGGAGCCGCTGCACAATTTATAAGCAAGGTAGAGCCTAGCATGTTATTTAGTTTTAAAATTGTGGAAAAAACTAAATTTCCATCCCCATCCTAGCTCCTCGGTATGCAGCTCCCCAACTCAGAGGCAACACTGCTCCCACCTGATCACTTTGTTATGTCTTCTAGTGTGGTGAAATCTGAGAATTTATATATTAAAATACTTAAAATTTTACTACAAACTACTTTTCTATTTCTTCTTTATATCGCATTTAGAGTATATTGATTTTGGTTGAAATGGTGTGGAATCATGTGCAATTGTCTACAAATTTCACTCCAAGTAAAGGAGACATTACAAAATATTAGTTATAAAGGGGGCATTCTATCTGATGGGACTGAAAATCTCTGTGGTATATACACTTGCTTTCCTCATTTAACAATAACTCTAAAGAAATTTTTGAATACGCATCATGGAAGTATCATAGTTTATTTAAATATTTACTATTAATAAACATATAGGTTATTTCTAATTTTACACTGTTAGAAACAATGAATGTAATGAAATCTTCCCACATACAACTTTGCACACATGCAAGTATTTCTCGGGGTTAGATATTGAGAAGTAAAACCACTAAATCAAGAGTGGGTTTTATTTATTTTAACTTTTAAAAGGTACTCCCACTTGGATGGGAGACCACCTAGGAAGACCAGGTGCTATAGGCATAAAAAATAAAAAATAAGGGATTGTAAACTGACAAGGTCCTTGCAATCTGTGAGGTCAACCAAGGGTTGCCGCCCCTAAAAAAAGAAGAAAAGAAAAGAGAAGAGAAAAGGTACTGCCAAATGTCTTTCTAAAAAGGCATATCAACTCCCACCAGTAGTGTATAACAATAACCATCCCCCTATATCCTTCTCAACACTTGAGTTTTCCAGTATTTTTAATATTTGTAAATCATTGGAGATAAAAAGTGTTTCTCATTCCACGCTGCGTCTCCCTAACACTAGTCAAATTGGATGAACATCTTTTCAAATGTTTCTTGGCCACTCAGTTAGTGGGGAATTCATACCTTTTGTCTTTTTTTTCTTTTGGGTTGATTTTTAAGAGTTCATATATTCTGACCATAAGTTATTGGTTTAATATATATGTTGGATATCACTTTCTCGTAGTCTGTTGCCTATCTTTTAACTTTGGTCATACAGAATTTAAAAATTTCAATATAGTCAAATTTATATTTTATGTTTTCCTTTATTGCGTCATTGGCTTTGGTCTTCTTAAAGAAGGCTTTCTCTGCCTCTAGACATCATTTTCAGTGGCTGCATAATATTCCATTGGATGTATATACTATAATTTATGAAATTCTCTCTCACTATTGAAAATATAGGTTGTTCCATCCTTTCACTAATATAAATAATACTGTGAAAAATAACTAAGTGTTCAATTTGATATTCCTAACACATATCTTAGCGCCTAGCAAACTCAGAATAATAAATGTTTCTTGGATGGGGGAAGGGAAAAAGGCAGAAAGCTTTTTCCATACTCACATACAAGGTATGTTAAAAAATGCAGCCCAATGTCAACCGAATTACTAGAGAATTAGCCCTGTAAGCCTTTAGCCCATGTAATCAAGAATTAACTCTACTTCTAAAATCTAGGCATGGAAGTAAACCTTCACCTTCTCCCTAAGATTGCCTTTCCAAAGGGTGGGACAACTACTTAAGAAAGGGCTTTAAACAACATACCTGAGTCCTTCTTATCCTGACTTCAGTTTTAGGGTGCTACTTCACTTGGTGAGTCTTCAAGGCTTACTTCTTAGAAGGTTAAGGGGCCTGAGAAGATGAGGCAGAAGGAGTAGAAGCCTCATATCCAGCAGGCTGGGCTGACACAGATTTGTGAGACTCAGCTCTATTTCTAGTAGGTGGAGCCTCTTGTCCCGAAGGTGGGGCTTCATTTCCAGCTGGTGGGGTTACATATCCCGCAGGTGGGAGTCCATATCCTGCAGGCTGGGCTCCATATCCCGGAGGTGGGGCTTCATATTCTGCAGGTGGAGCTCTGTATCCCGCAGGTGGAGCTTCGTATCCTGCTGTTGGGGCTTCATATCCTGCCAGTGGAGCTACAGATCCCTCTGCTGGGGCTCCATATGCGGGTGGGGCTCTGTATCCCTCAGGCAGAGCTTCAGACCCCTCTGGTGGGGCTCTGTATCCCGCTGGTGGGGCTCCGTATCCCCCCAGAGGGGCTCCATATCTCATGGGCTGGGGCCCATAGACAACAACTGGGTATGCTGAGAAGGAAAGAAAAAAATTAATTACTTATTTTTTAGAATGCACAAGGAATAAGTGAGACGGAGGGAGAAGATAAAAATAATGCTGAGGCAAACTGACACAGGAAGAGAATCAGGTAGAATAATGGTAAAGTCAAATCCTTCAGCCACCACCATTTGAAGGCTTTATCATTTCCTGTTGTGGAGAGATTCAAATTAACATGAAAACAACCCCACAGTTATATCTCTGCATTACTTATAGTTGTGTACAGCTAGGTAATTTTTTTACCTAATAAAGTTTGTTTTGATTATGAAAAAAGTAATACATGCTTAATGAGGACTATGTATTTGGAAAATAGAGAAAAGATTAATTTTAAAAAGTCATCTATAATGCCATTATCAAATACAAAAACAATATTTTGGTATTTCTTTTTAGGGTATCTGTTAATATTTTTATATAATCATTATTATAACAACTGTACTTTTTTTATCTGGCTCTTTTTACTAGACATTATACAAAATTTCTTTATATTACTAATGTATTTCATAAATTAAAAGCTGGACAATATTTTATCATATGGATAGATACTACTTAATTCCCCTGTTGTAGGGGAGCATGTTGTTTCCAACTTTCCAATTAATATTACAATAAATATGGGTTTTATTTATTTTCTTGGCTACATTCCCAAAGGGATTTAACTGAGTCAAGGTGAATGGACAATTGTCAAGTTATTTTGCTATAATACTTATTTATGTTTAAGCTATCTAGAAAAACACCTTTAAAAGAACTTTCCTAATGATGCTCAAGGAACTAAAGGACAATGTGGAAAAAGTCAAGAATATGATGTATGATCAAGATAGAGATATCAATAAAGACAGAAAACCTAACGAGAAACCAAAAAGAAATTCTGGAGTTGAAAAGTACAATAACTGAAATAAAAAATTCACTAGAGGGATTAAAAATCAGATTTAAGTAGGCAGAAGGAAGAATCAGTGAAGTTAAAGATAGAGCAATAAGAATTGTTAAGACTTAGGAACAGAAAGAAAATATATTGAAGAGTGAAAAAAGCCTCAGGGACCAGTGGGACACCATCAAACAGACTAACATACGCACTGTGTGGAAGTCCTAGAAAGAGAACATAGAGAGAAAGGGGTAGAGAGAATATTTAGAGAAATAATGGCTGAGAACTTCCCAAATTTGATGAGAGACATAAATATAAACATCCAAGAAATTCAACGAACTCTAAGTAAGAATAACTCCACACCAAGACACATTAAAATCAAACCTGCAAAAGACAAAGACAAAGAGAATCTTGAAAGCAGCAAGAGAGATGTGAATCATCACATGCAAGGGATCCTCAATAAGATAATCAGCAGAAACTTTGGAGGTCAGAAAGCAACTGTCAAACAAGAATCTTGTATCTGGCCAAATTTCCTCAAGAGTGACAGAGAAATTAAGACATTCCCAGATAAACAATAGCTGAGGGAGTTCATTACCACTAGACTTACCCTGCAAGAAATGCTTAAGGGAGTCCTGCAGGATGAAATGAAAGGACACTAAACAGTAATCTGAAGCCAAATGAAGAAGCCATATCAAGATCTCAATAAAGGTAAATTGTTGGGCAATTATAAAAGTTAATATATTTGTAAAAATGGTTTGTAATTTCATTTTTCTACATAATTTAAGAGACTAATGCTTTTAAAATAATTATTAGATTATGTTTGGGGGAGCACAATATATAAAGATGTAATTTTGTGACATCAACTGAAATATGTGAAGATGGAGCTGTAAAAGTTTAGAGTATCTGTTACTGAAGCTGGTAAAAATTCAATATTAAGCTGGTAAAAATTCAAATGAGTGTTATAACTTTAGGATGTTAAATGAAACCCCCATGTTAACAACAAAGAAAATAGCTATGGCATATAGACAAAAAGAAATCAGAAAGAAACTTAAGTTTTTCACTATAAAAATATCAACTAAACACAAAAGAAGACAGTAATGCAGGCAATGAGGGACAAAAAAAGCTATAAGGCATAAAGAAATCAAATAGCAAATAACAGAAGGCCCTCACTACAGTAATTACATTAAATGTAAATGAATTAAACTCTCCAATCTAAAGACAGAGATGTTAGTTTGCAATCTCCTCAGGAGCTTCCCTGTGTAATCTGAAACTGGGCCCCCATTCACGTAGGGCAGAGAGAGACTGAAGAAACAGGTAGACCACTCCAGATTAGTAAGTGGCAGTTTTAATAAACAAAGGAACTTATTAGACATGTCTTGGTTGGCTGTAAGACAAGTAGTCTCTGCACCCGCCGGTCAAATCTTAATAGTTTTTACATAATGGCCCAAACTGGATTCAGTCACTTGTATTATCCAGATAGTCGCAACTCCACATATCTTAAGGCTTTATCCCTTAAGAAGCTTCTTGGAGCAGGGGATGCAAGCCAAATGCACACTCCCAGGACAAGGAAGCGGGTGAAGAGCCTCCAATTTCTGGGTCTAACTTTTGGGTCAACAGGTGGTTACATCTTGATGACCTTCTCCATCAAGACATTGGCAGAATGAATAAAAACTCATGATTCAACTATATGCTATATAAAAGAGACTTATTTTAGATACAAAGACACAAATAGATTGAAAGTGAAAAGATGGAAAAGGGTATTCCGTACAAATAGTAACCTAAAGAGAGCAAGAATGGCTAACAGCAGGCAAAATAGACTTAAATTTTAAAAAATTACAAGAGACTGAGATATAGCAAATATAGCAAATAGATATAACCATTATAAACATTTATACATCTAAGGACACACCATGAAAATATATGAAACAAAAACTGACAGAATTGAAGGAAGAAATAGACAGTTCTACAATAATAGCTGGAGACTTCAATATCCTACATGCACAATAACGGATAGAAAAACCAGACAGATAAGTAAGGAAATAGAGGATTTAAAAAACATAACAAACCAACTGGATCAAACAGACACGTATAGGACACTCTATCCAACAACAGAATACACATTCTTCCAAATGCATGTGGGACATTTTCCAAAACAGACCATATTTTGAGCTACAAATTAAGTCTCAACAAATTTAAAAAGATAAATAACAAAGTATCTTCTCTGACCGCAACAAGATAAAGTTACAAATCAATGATGGAAGTAAAACTGGAAAATTCACAAATTTGTGGATTAACACGCTCTTAAACAACCAAAGGATCAAAGAAGAAATCAGAAGGGAAATTATAAAATACTTAGAGACAAATGAAAATGAAAACACAACATACCAAATGTATAGGATGCAGCGAAAGTACTGGGACAACTGGATAACCACAAGCAAAAGAATGAAGTTGGACCCTAACCTCACTCCATATTTAAAATTAACTCCAGTGCAGTTTGGAGAAACATGGAGGAGTGAGAGACGTCCCCAGACCTCTCCCCTTGAAACAACAATAAGCAGAATATCTAAAATTCAACAAAAAACTAACAAACTGCACACCAGCACCCCAAGCACATCTGAGTGTGGGATCTGCACATAAGAGCTACTACAGATCAGAACCCCGGGTGTCAGGTGGTGGACTGGGAGAAATAAATATGTTGCCTCTCGCAGCTGCTGGAGCTCCCTGTAGGAGGAGAGGGAGGGGAGAAGGTGCGGCGACTTCCCTGAACAGCCTGCGTGGAAGTGCCAGAATTTCTGGCAGCTGGCAGGAGGGCCCAGTCATCAGGGCAGAAAGCAAAGAAGCAGAACGGGACCGCAGAGAAACAACAGCTGATTTTTACCAGCGCGGCCGCAATTACTGAGGCTGAGCTACAGCCCCCAACTCCCATACCAGAGGGCTCCTCCCCCAATACCCTCCGAGAGAGAACGCCACGGAGCCCTAGGAGAGGAGAAGCAAACTCTACTGAAACTGTTGCTAACGCTGACGGACTGAGACTGAGGGTAGCAAGTATGATTAAATATCTATAAGAAAATAAAAAGGTATTATTAAGGCTTCATATAAAGCAGGGATTCAAGAGGCTTAGACACCACTTATTGGAAACCAAAAGAAAAGTGCCTTCTTTGCAATAGGCTAAAAAGTGACCTTTAATATAAGAAATCTTCTTTCTGGAAAAACAGAAGAATATACTTTCATTAATGCCCAGGCAGAGAAATAGTCCATTAAACACCATGAACAACCAAGATGACAAGCCATTTCAGAAAGAAAAAGAAAAATCTCCGG